GCATCCCGTTTCTCAGGCGTCTACTTAGCAGCGCCGACGTTCCGCGCAAATATGCTCTGACTCTTTATGTCATGAGTGGCATCGCCGTCCTGGTGGTCTGTTGAAAATCTGGCTGAGCACTTCAAAGTTAATTTAGGGCTGGAGGCGGCCTCAGGTTAACATATGATATACCTTTATAGAGCCGGAATGAGGTCTCAGTCTGTGCCGGCCCACCCTGCGCCCACCATCCTTTGGCAGCATCATACGGAGCGTCCCTGTCACCCTGTCACCGGAGACCGTTGTCCGTGGTCAAAAACTTGTTACCGATACCCGAGTGAGCTGTTTATCCTGTCTCGGTGTTCATACAGTGGTCAGTAAGTTCCAGGGGGCGAGATGGCCCAAGTGGTTAGAGCGCGAATTTACTGACCGGAAGGTCCGTGGTTCGAATCCGACCTCCGCCACTCGACTTCCCCTGTCTAGGCTTGGGCAACCTGGCAGTATCCCAGCCCTCGTGCTTCCTTCGGTTGGCATGGCAGCTAGGCACCGAAAGGGTGCTACAGCTGAAGGCTTTCTTTTCAGTAAGTTCCTTTAGGAAAATAGTCTGTTGAAAACACGGAACTCTGGATCATTCACATGAACGTCTTACACAGTGAACTGAACACAGCTGACCTCCACCCAGGTGGATGGAATATCAACCGCAGTTTCCCATCGATAACAGAAATCCCTCGCGAAATTTCGTTGCCTCAGCTCAGCAAGCGCCTTGGCCAAACGGCTTGCACCTTACACTTCAAAGTTTTCTATGAATCCCTTGTTAACCCGACGATTGTCGTATACTTTTTGAAGAGTGAATGCCACGAGAATGAAGCGCGTAGACGGTGATCCCATTCTTGAAAAAGTTGTGAAAGCATCTTTCGACAACCATGATGACATCAATCGATCGTCAAAAGACTCAGTGTTTGACCGTTGATGTCTTCGGAGCATTGCCCGAATGTGGTGGGAACACCGGATCAGCAATTCTGAAGTACGTCGAATGGTATTCGGGAGAAATAACTCACTCTCGATAGATGAACTAATCACACTGCACAGGTTGCGCTGGCTTGGCCACGTGTTGCGTATGCCAGTCGACCGACTTCCTCGAAGGGCTCTCTTCCCCCAACCACGTGAAGGTTGGAAGAGAGCCAGAGGCGGTCAAACAATGACTTGGCAGCGAAGTGTGAAAGCCATTACCAGCAAGCTCAGCTGCGCTGGTAATTGCCGTCTTCCTGGATGGGGACCCCAAGACGGGCCACATCAATGGCTAGAGACATTGTCAGACATGGCCCAGTCGCGCCCTCAACGGCGCTCGTGCATCAAAGCTGTTGCCTTCAATGCATAGCTCCTTTTCCACCCCTCCCCCCACTTGACAGCCCACTGACAGTGCCGGATTTATGCACCAACTTACCAACTCGCGCCTGCAATGCGCAGCTGCCTATCCCCTCCCCCAAATCATCGGTGAACGAAACTGCGGCAGCTGCAGCCACTGTACGACGAGTACGGGGTTATTACAGCTGATGATGATGATGATGATGACATCAATCTCGTGTTCATGGCGTTCATTGTGTCCTACAGGATTCTGTGCACGTTTATCCATCATCGTGAGTCGGGTTCATGACAACCAAGTTGGACTGTGCCCCGGTTGATGCTGCATCGGTTCTGTCCTCACTTATCGTCTTTCCCCTTCGACAGTTATCCTTGGCCATTTTTCTTGAGTTGCCAGCTGTTTTTGATTCCGTCGGTCGTCAGAAGCCGATAACTCCTGGCGACGAAAGGCGTTCTTTCTAAAGCCTTGTCTGTTATTGAGGAAGTGTACACATGTTCCATTGAACGCACACGGGAAATTCCCCAAACCTCTTCGGATGGTAATATGCACAAATGTCACTTGTAGCTGGCGATTCGAACGTCTAGGTAAGAAGGTTTGATGAACGTGAAATCCGTCTCGTTGAGTGACTCGATTGATATGTATCGGAATCGGGTACGACCAACGGATATACGCGACCTGAGAACGAGCGCACAACTCCCCAGCTATGACGCGAGCCCAACCACTCCTAGCACAGACAGAGAAGACCAGACCTAGGTGCTCCTAGGGAAGCCGATGGTGATCTATGTATACAAATATACGTCATTCACCATCTGTTTGCCGTAATCCCATATTCCTAACAAAAATATGATCATCGTATTACCTGACGCCCTTCAAATCGTAACTAACCGAGCATTCAAACTGATAGCATGGCCATTAGTTGTGGATGGGATTTTGTGTTCAAGGTCGTTGCTGCTTTTGAAGCATCTATACGAACTGTGTCCACCGTCTGGTCTTTGTTCGTCATTTTCTCTCGCCAGGAAGATAAAAGTATGACTTTTATCTCTTGCAGAATGCAGCCATTACGGCAACCGCTGTGTAGATATTGACTGCAGAACGTCCGGTCGGTCAAAGGAAGACTGGCTTAACTTTGGGAACGTCGCGAATCCGACGTTTGACTATAAGCAAACGAAAACAAAGACCGTCACAACCCAATTTCAAAATGATCCATCCTTCATGATGGAACTATCGGAGAAGCCGTTGCTTAATTCGGAGTGGCGGAAACCTAGAATGTGAATAGGCAGAAGAGAATGATGTCACGAAAGGTTTGGACGCTGTTAGTACCATTCCCCTTGCAGAGTGTGACCCACTTGACCTTTCTTGCACTTTACTAGAGACTGAAATATATGTCGGCTAACCGGTGTCAGTCGCCTTCCTACTGTCAGTTTCTGTCCAGGTTGTCTGACTGAACGTTGGAAGTGTAGGCATTTCGGTTATTCCTCCTCCTATCCGATTTTTCTTCCTTCCATTACAAGTCTCCATCCAAGCTAATGGTCGTGGTTGTGCAGCTGCGAATCGCCGATGTTCTATGGTGTAGCTGTCAATGATGATAATGATGGTGATGCAGCCTCTGCTACCTCTGAAGTGGAGATTCTGCCTGAGGAAGACCGTTGAGACCTTCGTGTGCAGACGTTGTCGAATTACTGCTCGAACCCTACCCAGCTAAGGTATACACCAAGCAATATAAGTAATATCAGTATTCAATTCGGAATACCTACCTGAACTCGAGGTACCTCGGCAGTTAACATGACAGACTACTGATACACTACTGGCTCGAACCCAGACCTTGCCCTCCGATCAAAGCAAAGTATATCACTTGCCTCCTAGTAGCGCGGCAGCTATGCACCGAAAGGATGATGCGAATGACATCGAAACATCCGGACCATTAGGGACAACATACGGGTTTACTTACTTCAGCGGTCATATCATGTCAGCATTACAGCTTGTCATTTTGGTGAATACCTGAATCTATCAAACCGGTTTACGACTTGTTTTCGGTTGGTGGCGACTTTGATTAGTTGTTCATGTAACACTGAAACATCAGATCACATACTGAAGCGCTACGAATAATTTGTTACAACTAGCTAATCGCCTGTCCAGTGGGCGACTTGGTTCTACTGCATCCATTATGTTGACCATCTGTGTGTTTTATACGTTGGTTGATCAAATTTCTCGCCGTCATGACTGGTAAAACGGGTTCCGAGTGAAAGGTGCCACAAGGATTCGTAACATGAAGGTAAAACATTAGAGACATAACAAGGGGTCCTAGTTGCGCTGGTGAATGCTGACCGCTAGTTTACGGAATCAGAAAGCCACCGCATTACTGGTCAGAGATGCTCACTGATTCGACAATGTCATATGACCAGTGAGGCTGTTGTCTTTCTTATCTCTAATAATCAATCTATTATTGTTCTTGTTCATTTCGCCCTTCACACCGAGGACCTCTGTAATGCCGCAATATCTGCCCTATTTTACGCGACCCGAACACCGTAGATACTTGCAAAGTTCATTGCTGTTACCCTGAACGGAGCCAAACAAACAAACCGTCCCTATGTTGTTGAGAATGAGCCTGCTTTGTCTTCCGATTTTTCTTTTTCTTTCACGTTTTTTAGCTGCCTGGGACCCACTTTTTATCTTTCCCTCTGGGAGTTTTCGTTCGGGCTTGTTATGCACAACTAAGCACGATTTCGTGCATCACCCGACCGACTATGATACTCAGTTCATCCACATGAATTCCTCCGGACTTGCTTTTGACCACTTGTTGATCCTCTGAAAGTCAGTTTGCCTAAGGAAAGTGAATGTCGAGAGGCGTTGGATGTTGGGGTGTTGTGTAGGAATCAGACATATCTGACCTGTCGGGCGCACCCATCTTCAGATGGCAGTGGGTCCTACGTAGGCAGTCATTACGAGACGATCAGGTCTTGCTATTTCTTTCCGTGACCTTCGGTAGTTGGCTGCAATATGGGAGGCCACTTCCCGAAAGTACCGCTTATTATCCGCTGGTTTTCGTTTACGATGATACCTAGCCCTTAAAACTGACTCTGCCTGACTCAGGAGACACTTTATAGAGTATACTGTGTTGATGACTAACTCGTGGCCTATTGCCAAACTCTGTTAAGGAACGCATATAATTTGGGATACCTGTATCTTGATGAGATAAGCATGAGCGAGAGCTAGTCGTAGTATCATCCAGTGTGGCTTGTTCCATTTCCTACTATATTATCACCATCGTCGAGCGTGAATCCAACGGTTTCATTTGATTTTCAGGTTAACCTGACTAATGAGCGGTCAAAATTTCCCCAATGGCCAGATCGGGCCGGGGTTTTCCTTCAATATTTATCGTCCTCCAGTGCGACCCTCTACCGGCGGGTCTGCAGCTACATCACAGTCGTCAGCGCGTCTAATGGCACAAAACCGAGGTGCTCTAATCACCTGTTTTCCCACTTCCACAAACGACGGGCAGACCCGGACTGTCCATTCCAATCATGGAGACAAGCTCATGGGTAAGTGTGGGGACTCCTCGGCTGCAACCACAACGTGTTTGACCGACCAGCGGTGCTATTACATTTCCTACTATATTATCACCATTGTCGAGCGTGAATCCAACGGTTTCATTTGATTTTCAGGTTAACCTGACTAATGAGCGGTCAAAATTTCCCCAATGGCCAGATCGGGCCGGGGTTTTCCTTCAATATTTATCGTCCTCCAGTGCGACCCTCTACCGGCGGGTCTGCAGCTACATCACAGTCGTCAGCGCGTCTAATGGCACAAAACCGAGGTGCTCTAATCACCTGTTTTCCCACTTCCACAAACGACGGGCAGACCCGGACTGTCCATTCCAATCATGGAGACAAGCTCATGGGTAAGTGTGGGGACTCCTCGGCTGCAACCACAACGTGTTTGACCGAGACGTCTCTACAAAAGCTGGTCCAATCCATTCACTTCCTTACAGCTTCTCCAACGATCCCGAATCTAACTGTCATTCCTACGTCCGGAGTTATCCCATCAAGCGCAACCGTTGCCGGTGGTGGTGTTGTCGGTTCGGGTGCCGGAATCAGAGCAACCACTGGAGGTTTTCAACCCCATGCTGTGTTGAACAATTTGTTTCAATCTCTACTTCGCGGGCAAGTACCGGTGTCGAATACTCCTATGAGCACAAATCCTAGTAACAACAACACTAGCAACATTGCTTCACTGTCAATGCCCCCTGCAAATGTTTCTGGATATCTGAACACTGTTGCACCGGCAGGCACGGGCAGCCGATTCCCCTTCCCGTCAAAACCGTCTCCAACCCTATCGGATCTACCACCATCACACATTGTAAACTCGCACCATCACACAATGCCGCATCAGCCCACTCCACCTACTCTTGTACACTCTACCAGTGTCTCCACAACGACGAGCACTGATGTCACAAACAACACGCATAATTCAAACAATCCGAACACCAGGAATAAAATTGGCAACAATCTGCCACCACTGCTTGCACCTGGCTCTTCTTCATCTTCGCGTTCCGGCTCCAATAGGAACGCAATGAACAGTGTATTAGAAGCGCTCTTTAATCCCATCAATCTGTCCACTGTATCCATCGGCTCCGGGAAGAGTGCGGGTGACCCCAAGATACAGAAGTTGAGTTCAATCTCCTTTCTCCGATGGGCATCTGGTAAGTTGTGGTGAACGGTGTCTCAATTGTTTAATGTGTGTTTGTTGTATGCGCGAGGTAATTTTTTTCCAAACTGAACCCTTTTTGAGACGGATTTACTTTCACTGAGCGATCTAACTACGAGGGTTTTGGGGAGACCCAATTCACACACCACTGATGGTCACATACTACAATGAACACATCTGCAACTCGATGCGGCTGAGACACTCACTAGTGCACACATGACAGGACTCAACAGGTTACTCAACGGACCTCGTTGTGCCATCACACTCTACGCACATACTGCAACAACACACGCCACTTTTCCCACCTGTGTTCAACAGTCATTATGTTTTCTCTGCGTCGACACAAGGGTCATTCCATCTCCATTGGCAAAATTATACGGCGTCTACTTATTGGACCGTGAATAAATTACATCGTATTTAACTTCCCAAGCTCAGAAAACAAACCAACGACTCTGTATTTATTGAATTGTTTTCCAGAGTAAAATTGGTGACATATAGTGTCTTAGGTTCGTTTCTCGACCAGACTTTTCATTCTTACACTTCTTTTATAGACACACAACCTCGGTTGTCGCGTGATACTTGTGTAAAATTAACTCGTGATTACCAACGATCTTGTTTTGGCTACAAGTGGCCCAAATGGTTAGAGCGCGAATTTACTGACCGGAAGGTCCGTGGTTCGAATCGGACTTCTGCCTCTCGACTTACCCTGTCTAGGCTTGAGCAACCTGGCAACATCCCAGCCTTGTGCAACCTTCGGGTGGCATGACAGTTAGGCTACAGCTCAAAGAACGCCTACAAAGTTCGGTAAGCTAAACGAATGGTGAAAGGCACTTAACCAGTCCGGTTGACAGAGTTCGGTAAGCTAAACGCATGGTGAAAGGCACTTAACCAGTCCGGTTGGCGTTTGAGAACACCGGTCTACAACGGACTGTCTGTCGTGAAGATATGTATGCATGTACATGAACGTGATGGTACCGAACCCTTTAGAAAGATGCATTGTTCTCTCTTGTTCTTTATGCATCCAGTCCAGCTAAGTTTTCATCTTCTATCGATCGTTATCCAATGGTTCCAACTTCACAGCTTGCACTCGATCCTTTCGTCGCGATCGAGTAACTCCTATGCCTCACACACAAGCCGACATCGATGCTCTTCACAGTATGAACTGGGTGGTGGCCCCGACCGGATTGCTGGGAATTTACTCCGAATCACCGTTTCTTCGTCCGGTCCTACTGCTTAGACGAGTTCAGTTCGCTACTCCAGGCACGGTGGTGACCACAATGCCTGATCCAGACAACACATGAACGTGTACCGAACCCTTTAGAAAGATGCATTGTTCTCTCTTGTTCTTTATGCATCCAGTCCAGCTAAGTTTTCATCTTTTATCGATCGTTATCCAATGGTTCCAACTTCACAGCTTGCACTCGATCCTTTCGTCGCGATCGAGTAACTCCTATGCCTCACACACAAGCCGACATCGATGCTCTTCACAGTATGAACTGGGTGGTGGCCCCGACCGGATTGCTGGGAATTTACTCCGAATCACCGTTTCTTCGTCCGGTCCTACTGCTTAGACGAGTTCAGTTCGCTACTCCAGGCACGGTGGTGACCACAATGCCTGATCCAGACAACATGGTCCGGGCTCTCAGGGAGATGGCTTTTGTGAAGGTTACCAAACTTCCCACCTTCGCCCAGAATCCACCCCGATCTCCCGGCGCGGTGGGCTTCACGACCGACTTCCTGTCCTACGTTTTTACACTGGACTTGGATCGCCTCCTAGTCAAAATTTTGTCCGCTCAACTGAAAAACGGATCACGGTAAGTTGCTTTCACACGGAATACTGATCGTTTGAGGCACCATACTACATCATGTTTGAAAATATCGTTCACTAGGAGCACATTTCAAAAGGTCAACCGAGTTCTTTCAATTTTTTTCAGTTTCAACTCCACCCTTGATGAAGTGTTGCCTATCTATGACTCAGTCACCAAAAATATGTGGTAAAAGACATTTCTCTATTCGGATATCACCTATAAAACGAAAATTTCGCATCAGTCTGTCGATTTAATTCACCGGTGTAGCTGAAAATGGACTTGTGGTAATTCGTTTTCTGGTTGCACTATTGGAGTAACCTTAAAGGGGCGTGAAACGTGGAGGAATTCGGAGTCGTCTGGGCAGGCGCACCTGCAGCTTTTGCACATGTACATCCTTTAAATAACAATAGTTGTTGAACCAGTAGTGTGCCTTTGGACACTGGTCAAGTGCTCGATGAAAGTCGGTTAGTTGACTGGTTGGTCAGTCAGCCCTCTAAAATTCACCTTGATGCGTTCAACTCCTCTTGACTTGACGTTATGAAGGAATATGCACTGTATGCCTAAAAGTGCACGCGATTCGCCAGGTACTTATGTAAATGTAAATGGTCTTGAGCCACTATCTTGCTACATCCTTGATGTACTCACTCTGCTGAAAGTCTGCTGACATAATTTTAGCTTACGGGAATTGATGCATAAAGACAGGTGCGATTTCCGACTAACTTCGCTCTTCTCCTAAAGTTCAGCTGACAGCCCGAGTGACAGTCATACTCCTTGATTCCCCAAGATGTTTTACGAAGTGATCTAGGATATACACCCCCGGTGAACTCAGCTGAGGGACTTGGAGTCATCCCATTCGACTGCATTAAGTAACCAACTGCACTCGCACACTCCTGTACCAGCTCCCCCGTCACGTGGCAAACACAAGGTTTTCCTTACAACTGAAAATTTCTACTTAGCTGGTCCCAATGTGTGTGTGGTGTCGAAAGACGAGCCGAGAGCCGAAGGTCTAGGGATGCGAAGTTCGAGATCTAACCAGTTTCATGTAGCACTCATAGCTCCTTAGCTGAACACAACACCGAAGTCTTCCATGGTTTCTACATGTTTGGGGCCGGTTTGTGTTCCTGATCAGGGGATCACACTTGACAATCCTGGCAGCTACCTCGTCAGTTCAGTATTTTACGACTATGGGTAAAAGTTCAGTGAGTTGCCGCGCGAAAAAGCGCACATTGACCGGAACAATCGGAACATCTATTTCGGACCTCCCATCTTGCGTGCCGGACGCCGAAACTTTACCTGTTTTGACAGGGTGATAGTTGGCCTTCCCTTTTGTTTCTACTCTTTAGTAAGGCTTTCTTCCTTCACAGTAGTTAAGCACCGGAATATTGTTTGATTATAATGCTGATGATTCAGTAGAACGGCCTCAGGACGGCCATATAGTTGGTCGATTCCCCGTACGAATGCTCATCTTCAGCCTCTTTGTATCAGTGGTGAATGGTCCATGTGCTTTTTTTGCCGGATGTTGTGGAACCAGACTATTCGACTTGAAGAAAGGAAATGAACTAGCCGAAATGTGAAGCGGCTTTTGTGCAGTACATCCAGTTGAAGAATATCATAAACTGAAAATTCAGTTGAATCTCGCATTAACACAAAAGTAATTGCAAATGAATGTACTTTAATTGCTTACAATTTGGTGTCTAAGCGAGTTATCGAAGTGTTTCCAACAGCCTTGTGGGCGGTGCAAAGGATGTTATGTCATTTGGGGAAAGACACTCCTTCTAGGTGAGGCACTCTTGAACCTAGTGAGACGTGAGACCGTCCAAATTTTTGACATTCAAGCCTTCGTGTTGACCAGTCTAAGGAATACAGACCATTCACTTTTTTGCTTACACGTTACCATGGCGATAGCCTTTTGCGACATCCTTGTACCGGGCAGCCTGTACTTTTAAACTGCTGGGCTCAAAATCCAACAGTGTTCACTTTATGCTACAACCCAGACTACGTGTGGTGCTACCCACTTGGGCTTTTCGGTTTGGTGTCTTGTCGTGACAAGACACCTACCAGATGCGATTTGAAGTATTATGCTTTTGCCCACTTTAGCTCAGTTCAGTTAAGTCAGTCAGTTTTTCAGCTACAAAACTACAGTGGTTTCAGCTGCTACAGCTTTGCTCACTGAGGATAAGAGGGCAAGGGAATGAGAGCCACACACAGGAGACGATGACCCAGTCATTTCACTGGTGTCAAATGAGTCTGTTTTTTTTGATATGTCAGGCGGCGCGTGAAGGCGATTGCTTCAATGCGGGATCGCCATTGGCTGCGTGGCTTAGCAATATCGGTCACAGTCACAAGCCTTTGGTTTGTCTCGTTCCGGGGTCCCCATCCGGGGAGACAGCGGCCACCAACACGACTAAGTTGACTGGTAAAGGCTCTCGAACTTCTTTGCCAAGCCATTGACTGGTCACTTGGACTTTTCCGTCTGATGTGTGGCTGGGAGTTGACTGCTAAAGGCTCTCGAACTTCGTTGCCAAGCCATTGACTGGCCACTTCTTGGACTTTTCCGTCTGATGTGTGGCTGGGCAAAAAGGGCCGTGCGAGAAGCTGTGCTATGGCATACAATGTACGTTCCCCAACTAGCGTAACCTGTGGAAGGTGATCAGCTGATCTACCGAGTTAGAGTGACCTTTCCCGCGTTACCGACTTTGGAAACGCTATTTGTCAGTCGCGCGAGTGTTACCACAAACTGAGCTCGGATAGTTGCTGAATTGTTGACGTGGTTTGACCGTTCTGCTCTTGAGCCTTGCCTATTCTGCAAGCTAGCATTTCACTAGCACTGGTTCGCTGATACATACGTGGCTACATACTAATGCACTCACTGTCCATTGGTTCATTTCAGCAGCATTTCAAACATTTCCACGTAACGTAGAGTGGTAGGGTTTTCACATTTGGTGATACCTTGCTTTGTGATATCTGGCTGCGATATGACCTCAGAGGGTACAGTACAGTACACGACTACAAAGCGTACAGTAAACTGGGTTTCATGATCGATCGAGCTATATGCTATAGGTGTACCGTAACGCGTAACTGTAGCACCAGTAGGTAATGTCACGCCGGCCAGACAATCACGTGAGCGACCGGTAGGCGTTTCGCGTGACGAAACACCACGTCAGTTTGGTTCATGCATAAACATGTACTGTGCATGGATCTGAAAGACTACGATGAATATTGAGGGCGTCGAAGCAGAATTCCGGTCATAATGCACGTGAATGTCTCAAATAACGATTAACCTTCGAAAATGCCGGCAGAACGCCATCCTGTTGGACTTTGGTGAGTAACGGACTACGGCCAACTCTTGACTTGCCGAAGGATAGATGGTTCTGTCTGGCTTATTGCTTCCCTAAAGTTCTTTTTTGTTTCGTTTCCCATGGTCGACTTCACATTCTCCATTTACTCTAATCAGGTGGTTCTGAACTGTTTTCTGGTGGCTAACTGGAACCATGTCTGCTTTCCTCTCTAGAGAAGTGGAAATTTACTCGTCGTCCCGGTGTTTTAAGCAAATATTATGCGCGCGCAATGAGGTATCCTTCCATGGAGCCTGGGCACTCGGTTTTGAATACTATGTATTTGAATACTATGTACTAAAATAACAGCCGATCTTAGTGTACCCCTGTCGGGATAATTCTTCTGATATGGTTAGAAATTGCATCGCCAACTCTCATGAAAGCATCCGTTTAATGGACAGTCGAGCAATAAGTCTCAGGACTTCTGTCTTAATCTTTATCCTTGAGGGAGTGGCATGGTCCAACAATCTGAGTAGTTAAAATATGCTTCCCCGAGTAGGACTGCAACAGAGTCTGTGTGGTCAAAATTGTCGCCTTGGTTGTCTTGTTCCTCCGAGACAAGATTTGTATAGAATTTTCAGCTTATGTACGGTTGGTCCAATGTGTTGGTTCCTCGCGTTCATCCCCCATCAATAACATATCACTTGGCCGCCTCGTCCACGTGGCTATATCTGTCGTTGCCACGTCTACCTGGGAGGAACCAAAATCGACAGGGAATTCTCAATGCACTGGAACCAACAGCCTGGGTCCAAATTGATGTACAAACTTGCAGACGATTGCCTCGTACAAATTGCGCGCTGATCAGTGTTGTACTGCCACGAACCTACATCATTGTTTTTTATTGTGTTTACTGCAGTGATGATGATGATGATTGTGTTTTCTATAGAGGAAAACGTTGGTAGCTCAGGTATCATAGATGGTGGTCGTTGGCTTGTTCTCTATAACAATCAGCTATGCAAACGAAGAATTCATCCAAGAACCGAGCGCTCATCTCCATCAGTGTGTGTGATACCCTCACAGAGGCACTACAGGATGGTGAGGATCGTATTGGTCGCTCAAATACCGTCACACATTGTTTTTTGAAGACTATACGGCCGTTAATTCGATCCTATGAGTAAAATTCCCGCAGAAGAATAATGCTTTGTTGAATAGATTCATAGCTTAGCGACTGAAAACCACACTTGGAAAAAGAGGCGCCACCCAGCTTAAACATAACTATGAAAGTTTACCATTGAAGGGCTACATTTCTGTCGGAAAGTAATAAATTCGGTTTGTCAACAAACCAGAAAGCCACGGCTGCCGGTAGTCTAGGAGAAGTATAAATCCACTGCCCCGAGAATTTATACTAGTGGCGAATCTCTCTTGATCAAAGCTTGGTTGAAATAAGAAACACTTAACGGTCGTTCGAGGAGGGCTGCACAATTCCGCGGTCCAACTTTAGTATGAGGAAGGTGGGGCGAAAAAGTTCGATTTAGTGACGCACATTACAGCCACGCATATGATATCATCATGAAACATACTGCTCACAAAAGAACTTGTGATCTTTCGAGTTAATCACAAATGATTGGTGTGTTCGATTGTCCGGATGAGAAATTATGTGGTTTGGACTCGGCAACATGAACTAACATTGGCGTTTTCGCTTGCAGTGGGTGTTTGCCACAATGTCCCAAT